GGGGGGGGGGGGAGGAGCGCGGAGGTGGTCCCACCCACGTCTTTGGTATCTTGGCCTGGGAGGGAGGGGGAGGGAGAAGAAAGATCACACCTCCAGAACTGCGAGAGCTAGGAAATTGAAGTTGTACTGATCAATGTGCGGGGAAGTTGTTAATTCGTTGACTCGCACAAATGATTTTAAACCCCGTCCTCAGCTGAGTGATGGCATAATGTGGAACCCCCTTCTTTCTTTCCTATTCCCACCTTATGAGAGACGGAAGCAACTGGGAGGTAGCAAATGTCACTCGCTGACAAAGTTGTCGATGGTTTCCTCTTTCGAATGTTGCTTACAAGCAAGCTGATGACGGATTTGATTACCTGGTATATGCGAGCACCAATTTACTATTGAAAGTGTTAGGCTTAAGTAATATATAAGACCCCGTAAGATTAAGTTCTATACGAGAGAATACCTCCTTAAAATTTCAGCTTTCTGGCTTTTCTAGTTCCCGAGTTAGGAATTTTTTCGTCAAGTCGGTACGTGATACCACAGGGACGTGAGCGATTATTTTGAGGATGGGGGACCTTACGAAGATGTAGACTAAGTCGCCAAAGTTTCAGCCCTATAGCTTTTGTGGGCCTCGAGGTGAAAAATCGGTGCAGACACACATACAGACACACACAGACACACAAAGAGACACATACTCTCGACAATATGTGTTTTTGTATTTCATAGATGTAAAAAAAGCGTAAGGAAAGCGTAGGGATCATTCCTACTACTAGCGATCTGCGAGTTTAGTGCATTCCTGGTTTAGGTTGCATTTGCATATATGCAGGAATGCATAAAAATGTGAAACCGTAAAAAGAAACGCGGTACAGAAACAATTACATGTAAAATAGCTGCTTTACTAGAAGTGTGCGCCAGAATGTTTTAGGCAGTTCAAAAAGCAAGATAGATAATTGCAGCTTTTCATCACCTTTTGACTGATAATGATTGATTGCAGTTCAACTGATCTGTGGGAACGTTTTGTTTTCCGGACTCGGAGTTTTATAAAGTACACAAGCCCAGTGGCATAAACTTGTTTTATTAAACAACAGTGTAGAGCTCCTGGCAATTTTCAGAAAATTATCAAGAATACTAAGCCGTTAATGATGTTACTGCATGGAATCCCCTAAATCTTAACATCCAGTGTACGCGTTTACCGTGCATTTCGAATGTAGCTATTGTCGGCATAGCGCACCCTTAGTTCATTTTGTCCGCACACGAAAATTAGGCATTTGTGGAAGCTGATTTTATGATTTTAGTAACACACAAGGTATGCTAAAATTTTGGTGAAATTTCTGCTTTCTTGACTGTCTGACTACCGAGAAAGAAAAAAAACAGAGGTGACAGCAGTTTAAACGTTTTATTCGTTCGAAAGCAGAAATTAATTTTATTCTTACAGGCTTACACATAAACAGAAAACATTCCCAAAAACCGCAGTTTCTTGCTTAATCTACTTGCAGAGTAAGTGGGTGCCAAAAGTGTCCAAAACTGAAACTTTACTTGCTCGTAACGCGAGACTTAGGCATGCTTTGAAACTGAGTTTAAAATCTTCCAGCTCACACTTTAGCCTCCCAACTCGTCCGATTTCCGGAACCATTATTTCGCCGCAAATATTTTTGGTATGCTCTTATGCCTGGGATAGACACGATTCGAAACTCAGTTTAGGTGACAAGGTCTTCAGCGCATGGACGGAAATATTCCAGCAAAGTTTTATTTATTCCTTCCCGGCTAATTGCCGAACTGACTCGGTATCAACGAAGAACTTTAACCTCTCTACGTGAAAATTGAATTTGAAATCTTTCAATCAAATATGAGCAACGGAAACCCTTTAAAACTTCAGCTTTTTCTCTTATCTTGCTTCCAAGATCGTTTTCTGTCAGGAAATTCACATACTTTTTTTCAGGCGCCCGTACGCGAGACCCAGGGGGTTCGTGAACTTTAATTTTAAAGCAAGAGAATGACACATGGTGTGGGAACACGTTTCTAAAGTTTCAGCTTACTAGCTTTTCCAGTTGCTGAAAGTGGGTGGCAAAATTTACTCACCTCCAAACACACAAGTACATTCATACATACATAGACAAGTTCTTTTTAATAACAGTTTTTGCTTTTGCATAAATATGCAAAAACCCATATAAATCTATACTTTATTACGGGTTCTGTAAGCTCAAAGCCGAAGTTGATGGCACGTATCTGTCTGCTACACCACTGCGGAACATTCAGAATATAAATCAATGCTGAACCAATAGCTGTTACACGTAATTAAGTACAGTGTATCTGCAACGGCACAATCAGCGACTTTTAGCACCGTGATGGACTACAAGTAACCGCCTAAACACATTTCAAAAACTGTTTATCACAAGGGATTACGATGCTTTTTGTTCACCCATGGCCAAATAAGTCAACATAAATTTTTTAATTCGCAGCAGAATCATCAAGGTTAAAAAGCGCTGCCAGGAAATCAATGAAATTCAAAATTTTAAACGCGCTTTTTGTTATTATGCGTATTTGGAATTGAACGACTCTTGTATGTTTCTTGGTAAAAATTCAGCTAGGCCCAGGTTACACTGATTGCAAATCGAACCTTATTTTCATGACAAATCAGTGATTCAAAGGGCTAAACAAATTTATGCGTGCTGTCATCCATGGTTTAATGCACTTGGCAAAAAATTGCATTTTTTATCATAACACAAAAATGCTCGGTGACAAATAAATCTTGCAGCCGCATCTATTTGAACAGATTGCAGATGTGAACTAAATTTAATTCATCAATTTTTTCGTACGTTGGTAAACGATCTGAGGAAGTATGAATGCATAATTTGACCTTGTTTGGTGTGGACAAAGCGCGGTAGTAGTACTCGAATCACAAATTGCTTGGAATGAGGGACATATTTTATATTCACATGTAATTGCTTGTGCATCATCATGTCCTCTTGTCTATTTTGCAATACATAATAGACACACGCATGGACATTTTATGCATTAAATACATACATATATATATGTATGTGTGCTTATAGATGATTTTAAAGAGTTAGATTAACCTTAATTACGCCATATATTTCGAGTGCCCGCAAGCGCCTGCAGCAGCAATTCACAACAGTAAACATTTTTTACTGACTGAAAATCGTGCATAATTCTTTAAAATGCTTGATACTGTGCTTCATTCAGCTATGTGTCGTTAATTTGATTCCAACCATGGCTTTTAAATTTAAAAATTCACTGCTGTGGTAATCCGAACAAAATATGGCGAGCCCATCTTGAACAAATTATCTCACAAGACCCTGTATAGCTGCATGAATACTAGCAAATTTGGCTGATGTGGTGGTGTTTTTAAATTTTCTGGGGAAATTTACCATTCCAGAAAATGATTGTAATCATCTAGGCAGTGCTGCAGCAGGAAGATAGCAGTAGGAATAGCAATGCTAACAAAATTCCTCCGCAATAATCTTTGCTTGCATGCTTGAGGCTGTGTTCTCTGGATGATGTGTTTCGACCAAACTCTGCGTGAGATGCTGCTAAAAGTGCAGCTGGGGCAGCTGCTGCTCTATGTAAAAGGAAATTCAATAATGAAATTAAATGCTGAAGACCACTTCAAAAATAATCGCTTTTACGGCACTCGAGCTTAACAATGTAGACTGTTTGTTAACGACGATGTTGACAACTGTGATTACACCAGTAGTGATGGTGAAGATGATAATGATGATGACGATGATGATGACAATGTTGATGACGATAATGATGATAATAATAATAATGATGGTGACTGTTGGTGAGGATGAGGATCACTGAAAGGTCGAGACGGAGAAGGTGGAGGCGGGGCACTGACGAGGCTGGTTGTTGTAGGAATTGGAGGATGGGTTACGTCGACTGAGCGGCCCAAAATATGCAACTGCTCGTTGTTGAAGCGATCCTGCACCTGATCCTCTTAGCTCACACCACTTATTCATGTCCACATCTATGCTCATGTTCTCAGGATACTGTAATATGTACTGGACAAGGCCTTTTCAGAATACCGTCCGGGATACCGCTTCACACTATCCGACTGTAAGGTTTTTTTTTTTCCGCCCGGTACTCCTGCTTTGTTTTTTGTGCTCCGTAAAATGTATTTTTGCTGCTCTCTAGGTGACCGTTAGTAGCGAAAACAAAATTCACTGGAGGAATATGAGAAATTAAATTGAAGCTGAAAATATTTGCAGGGATCTTCAAGAGAACAAAATATCGGAAGTAAGAAAAGACGATCTCAGTGGCTTATCACATCTCAAAATTTTGTTAGTTGCATTTCTCAGTGCATCAAAACGTAGCTTCATCCGATAACTGATGCACCTGTATGGAATAATTTGATAGCGCATTTGTTTTGTTGTAATGAGAAGTGATAGTAGTTAGCGCCGACGCTTCGTCTGACAGCAGTTACGCAGATGAGGCAACTTTGCAGGCAGCTGATGGACAATCAGATCCAGATGATTGAAAGTAACGCCTTTGATAATTTGATATCACTCGAAAGGCTGTGAGTTTATCGATCACTTAGTAGCTCTTTCATATCATCGCTTTTTTTTTGATATTGGCTCTAAGCAAATTCGCACTTAAATTTCTTACACATAGCCATTTTTGTATCAAATGAATTTCGTGCATTAAACTACGTCATAGCCACTGATATTCGGCTGTGCATTGTTCAGCTGCTGGTCAGTTTTTAATAATTTGATAGGGATTCTGCATTAGATTTCAGGGATCCAGAAAGTTTTAATCATGCATCTTACCAAATCTTTCCTCCTCCTGAGTCTAAGTGGTTTCTTAGTGCAGCATATTACTTTGTTATAGTGTGAACTAAGTGATTCGAACGTCAGGCAGTGTATCGCAGTCTGCGTAATGTGGGTGACTAATAACCATGCATGCATGAAATGAACTGCGTGCTGTGCATCGTGTAATGTGAAACAGGCCAGACAGTGAACGAATAAAGTCAGCGAAACTGTGGTCTGTTTGCAAGCTACGAAAATCTGCCAGCACTTTTTTATGGATGCTGAAAGTTACAGGATGCACCAGAGCAGCTGATAGCCTAATAGAATAAATAATTGCACCAAGCAATTTTTAAACTGCAGTAATTAATCCACCGTCACTTTTTTACTAAGAGAAAATCCTGGAGAAAAATTCCGCTTCTGAACTGATGCTTGTCGCCAGGATTTGTTTCAGTACATGCAACATTAACACCAGGATCAGTTTTGCAGAAGACTAAATAAGAATCGTTTACGGACACTGCCAAACGAAATTTTCATCAAGAATATCAATTTACACAGGCTGTTAGTCCTTTTTGCGTTATCTAATTTTTTTTAAATCTTGCTAGAAATTCAGCTACTGCAAACTACATTATCATCCCGGACTATTTTAAATTTTATAATTTTCATTCAATCACCTTTTTTTTTGATATCTATTTACTTTACCATAATTCTCATTCCGTCACCTTGATATTTGTTTACTTGCTTCTTGCTTTTTACTTGCTTGTTTACTTGCTGATATTTGTTTACTTGTCATTTGCTTTTTTTTTTTCAAAATTAGTAGTTCATTTAAAAGAATATTTTTCTGGAAAATTATCATAATGCTTCTTCAAAAAATTTTTTGAAATAGCCAGCATGACTGCCAGTTACGAGACAGTTTTTTCAGGCAGCATTTAATAGTTTCAACATTTCCGTATGTTTCGCATTCATGCGTAATGGATGACTTTATGTCACTTTAACGTCAAGTGATTATTCGGAAAAGACTCTGTCAAAACTTTTTCAAATTGCGTTTCTCGTTATGCGTTTTTGTCGTGCAGCGCTAGTGCGTTACAACAAGCAGCAAAAACGCATATTGCAACGACCCTGTGTGTATGTGTGTGTTGCAACGGCCTTGTATATATGTCTGTTTGTCTGGTATTTCTACTCGCCAACCACGCAAGCTTTGGTGCTGAGATTTTGCCAGTGTTTTCCTGGTCAAGTGAGACTCCAAGAACGTGAATATCAACTATAACACGCATGTCGATGTCTCACGTACGGACATGTGAAAGTTTTGGCGGGCAAATTGCTAACTCGGGGGAACGACAAAAGCTAGAAAGCTGAAACTTTAGAGGAATGCTCCCTATACCTGCATGGCTAAAAGTTTTCAAATTCAGCCGCTTAGGACCGTCCTGGACTTATGTACGAGCACGTGAAAATCTATACGGGATAGCTGCTAACTCGAGAACGAGAAGAGCTAGAAAAATAGAAATTTGGGGTAATGTTCAATACTCATGTACGACCATAAAATTTTAAACTCAGTTCCTTAGAACTGCCCGGGACACACGTACAGACAAGTGAAAATTTCGGTGGGAAAATTGCTAACTCGGGAACGAGAAAAACTGGAAGGCTGGGATTTTGAGAGAAAGTTCCCCACTCATGTGCGACTAAAAGATTTCAAATTCAACTCTTCTAGTGGGGTCATTCTTGCGCACAAGCAACTTTCCATTTGTCGGATCACTGGAGTTAGCACCTATAACTGGAATGGCAAATAGCTGCACAATTAACTTTCTGAACTTTTAGGATCAGTGTCTTATAAATTCTAGCTATTATGACTTCTTGTGATCTGGCTATAGCACGAAATAGTGCAAAAGCGCATGTTCCAGCTTAGGTTTAGAATATATCCCGGCTGCACTACTTCACTTTAATACCTGCGCTGAAAAATAACAAAAATATCAAAATTGCTCAGGCTAGCTCATGTTAGTGATGTTATGTTGGGATGCTCCCACACCCCATGCGCAACTATGCCAGGACTACATCGGAAAAATTGGACCCAGGTAGCTACGCACTTGGCTTGCCGGTGCGATCATGCGTTTTCACAAAATCCCTATCCTATGGAGAGATGCTCGCACTACTGGGGCATGATTACGGGGCTGCAATTTGTAAATTTGATGCACCTGTATACAGGGCCCATATCTGGGCTAAAGCTCATTTTACTCTTGTTGGCTCGCACATGGAAAGTTAGCATCCTCAGAAAAAAGCTCTGCCCAGTCTAGTAACCGAGCAAATTAGGTACCAATAGTGTTTCAAACTAAATTTTCATTTGTGCTCATGCAATACTAATAGTGCTTTAAAGCTGGATATGAAACAAACATTTCGGTCGCATGTAGACACAGAATATCGACTTAAAATTCCAGCTTACTAGCTTGACTGACTACCAAAATCGCTTTTTGTCACAAATATATTTGACGCATCCAAATGCGCCACACAGACATGAGCTAGCGCTTATTTTATGCCCACATGCCCGCCTACGGACGACAAATATTCTCGTAAAGTTAGAACACTCTAGCCTGCTAGGTTGCCGAGTGGCATTCTATCACCGATTTCGCAGTTTCAATTTTGGTGTTTCAAATACGCGACGTAGACATACGTTAAAGCTGAGTTAAAAATCTTCAGCTCAGACATGGGCAGAAAATATCCTCACAAAGCTTCACCGTCCTAAGTTGACTGGTTCTGGAAATGCTTTCCGACAAAAACTTACATCTTTTCTTCGCTGCGTCTTTACATGATACCCAACCGTAAGTGGGTGTTAATTTTTAGACAGGACAGTCGCGCATAGGACGGGTATTTTGATTTGTACTTTTTTTTCGAACTTTACTTTCTTTTTGCACTTTTTTCCAACTTTAACGATTCATAAAATTAGACTGAATTAGGAAGTGAAGCCACAGCACAAAGCATACAAACACTTTTACAAGTACTACTAGTACAATAATCCCACCATAATGTACTTTTATTTGCACGAATTATTCATGTAAAAACAAATAATTAAGACGTGCGCTGATCTTGTGCTGGTGATGTGTCACTGCAAATGATAGAAGCGGGAAGCAAAGCGATGAGAGGAGCGAAGAGAAGGGACAGGGGAGGAAAACTAGTCATATTGTATATACATACCACAGGTTAGATCGTATCTCAGTTTCTCCTTTACGGCCTTCAGTTGCACCTATTTGTAACCAAGTGCTGCGCATAATTAATTTATCTTCCCCTGCATTTTCCTTCCCCTCAAATTAAAAAATCGTTAGCCAGCGCACGAATTCCGGCGCGAAGATGCGTTTTTTGCACAATTACCCTATGGGTTTTGTGTTGCTAACGGCACTGTTTTTCTCCGTAAGTGCTTCTAGCTAAAAGAATTGAGACCAGCCACCATGAATGTCAGGAATTATTATAGTGACCAACAGTCCTTTCTCAAAAAAATCAACACTCTAGGTGCTCTGGTAGCGGAGTTACGTCAAATTTCACGTGCTCGCACATGAAAGGAAAAGTGAACGCTGTTTTTGCGTGCTCTTGCTCAAACACGGTCCTAAGTGCGCTCAGAAAATTTCAGCACTCTAGCTGTTTTGTTTGCGGAGTTCCGTCAACTTTCACGTGTGTGTATGTGAGACATACGACGGAAATGAAAAGGAAGTGCAAGTTGTTTTTATGCCCACCTGATCAAATGCCGCCGTCGGTTGCGCTTAGAAAGCTTCAGTCTTTTAGCTGCTGCAGTTCTGAAATCATAAAACTGCCTGCGAGAAAATTTTACGTGTCTGCACATGATATACAGAGGGGCTGGAAAGCTCAATTTACTTTCACGAACACGTCAGTGGACGACAAGCAATGCTGCAAAATTGCAGTTCTCTACAACTTCCTGGTCAGCTTAAGTCTGGAGCTGGCACGATGCCAGTTTAAAATTTGGCGTGTACGTACGTGAGACCTAAGGGTGGCTGAAGGCTGAATTTAAAATTTTTGGATTAGACGTGATCAAGGAACGTCTTTGTGAAGTTTCAGTCTTCCAGCTGGTGCCGTTCCCGAAATTGCTTTCTGGCCAAAAAAAAACTTTCACGTGCCCATACGTGAGAAGCGCGGAGACGTGAACATCCATTTTGATTTTAGGGGCTCATACGTACGTGTAGATTAAATTGCCGAAGCTTCAGCCTTGCAGCTTTTGTAGATCTCGTGATGCAAACTCGGTACAGATACACACACACACACACACACACATACATAGGTACGCAAACACACACCCTCGGCAATATACGTTTTTGCGTTAGCATGTAGGCAATAATTGGCTAACGCACGGGCTGCTCATGCGAAGATGCGTTTTCTCCATAGTTCCCCACAGTTTTTGTCGCTATTGGCACCGGTTTTTCCTGCAAATGCTTCTAACTAGACAAATTAAGACTGGCCACCAGAACTGTTAGGAAACACCCCCTTAAAATTCTAGTCTTCTAGCTTCTCAGGTTCCCGAGGTAACAACTTACTCGGAAAAAATTTTCACGGGCCCGTAAGTGGGTACTACGCATACCCGGTGTCTGG